CCCTCGAGTCCTCCTCGGGCCGGTAAAGCCAGCCAGCCAGCCAGCTCGTCCCCTGCCTGGTGAGTCCGCTGGACAGCGGTTGAGATGGAGGCCGCTCGCCTTCGGAGGGGCGCGGGGTTGGGGCGAAGAGGGAAGGAGAAGGGAAGGAAGCGCTATCTCGCCCGCAGGGTGTGTGTGTGTGTGTGTGTGTTGGGGGGGGGAAGTGTGGGTCGGTAGTTCCTAGTTGGGGGCTCTGGGAAAGAGCTCCCTAGGCACCGAGGGTGGGTTTCGCCGGTTCGCTTGGTAGCCGCCCCCTTGGAGTGGGGTGGAGGGGCCGCGGAAGAAAGGGGGAAAGGCTTGGCTGGTCTTAAATTTGTGGCGTTACGAGCAGGTGAGACTGGGGCGTGAGGAGGTGGTCTGGAGCCGGTCGCCTGGGTTCCTTTTTTTGGTCGGCAAAGCTTGAGTAACGTTGTTTTTTTTTTGGGCCGCCGCCTTAGTTCGTGTGCATTTTGCAACGGAGTTTGTTCAGCGGGTGTTTTGTGAGCTTAGGAAGGCTTGCGTTTTCGTAGGGCTTTTTTCCTTCATGTTTTATCCTCTGGAAATGAATTATTTTAAAAAAATGCTCACAGATAGCTCTTGGAAAGTGCTTTCTTCGGGGGAGGGGTGGGGTGGGGATTTAAACCGGGGAGGTTCTCTGCAGGGCTGCCCTCCACCAGCACCCTGCTCCGTGTCTTGCACGGTAGGGAGCAACACTTCCTCCTCCTCCCACTCGGAGAGCAGGTGACGTCGGGCAGTGGCTGCGCCGGGTGGCTGCGCCCGGCTTGTTTGCAAGGAACAGTTACGATTCCAGTCGCTTCTCTGTCTGCTCCGACTGGAAGATGGATGGGAGTCACCAAGGTTGAATCCCCAGAAGGGGACAGCCCCCTGAGTGAGGGAGTGAGCCGTTCAAGGCTAGCTCCTATTTCTATCTGTTTGGCTCTTTTTTATTTTATTGTACTTATTTGTCTTATTTATAGGCTGCCTTTTGTCCTGATGAGGGGACTCAAGGCAGCCCACAGTATTAAAAATAGAATTAAAACCAAAATAAATTATACATTAAATACTGTTAAACTATAGAACCGATTAAAATATATCAAGTAATTAAAAACATATAAAATGTTAAAAACATCAAGTAATTAAAACATATAAAATATTAAAAACTAAAAACTAAAAGTGGCATTCAGGGACTCAGTCATGATTATTAGAAGTCTGCCTGAAAAGATGGATCTTCAAAAAAGGCATGGGACCTGACCTGCTATAACCTGGGAGCAGCCGCAGAGAAGGCCCTCTTTTGTGTTCCCATCCGTTGTGCCTGCACTGGCATTCAGACCAAGAGGAGAGCCTCCTCTGATTACCCTAAGTGCCAGGAAGGCTCATATGGGGCGATATGGTACTTCAGGTAGCTTGGACCCAAGCAGTATAGAGCTTTTTCTGAAGATAAGACAAAGATAATTGGAGCCGTGGCACTGGGCAGCAAGAATATGTTCTGAGTAGCTATGAGGCATGATGACTTCTTTATATTAATTTCAGTATCAGAAACCGTGTGCCTCTGAATGCTGAAGACTGAACCAGAAAAGAAGTTGTGAGCATCCCAATGTAAATTGGTTGGCCACTGTGAGTTCAATTGGTGGAATTGAGAGGCCTTTTAGATGGTTGAGCAGGACTCTTGTTATGTTCTTAAGAATTAGAGGAGGTAGGGGGTGCTCATTCTTCCTCTTTCTTCCTTGCTGTCTGCCTCCTTAGGCAATAGGATAATAGGCCCCACTGCAAATAGAGTCGCTCTTTGTCAAATCACTTCCTTTTCCTTTTAAAGACTGCAGGGATGCAAGTAACCTGACTTACCTTTCACTTCCTTTCCTCTGTTGGAAAGCAAATGAACCATCTTTAGATGGTACAAGTTTTGGAATTAGTCTGGTGAGCACATCTGCTTGTACTGTGACTTTCAGAGAGGGAGGCCAAGTGAGCAGAATTATTTCTGTACCTACACCCCCAGTTATTCTGTGCAGAAAGGGAAAGATGGCTAAGAGGGAGCTAGAGACTCCAAAGAGAAAGAGCCACTCATTGGTTAGAAACATTGCTTGCCTAATACTTGCTGCTTTGTTCACTCATCCCAAGCCTTGGGTGTACTAGCATAGGAGAGAGGATTGGATAAAATGAGGGTTGAAATAGCTGTTGCTACTTTTGTTCACTTCTCTAGGATATTGTTTCCTTATCTGCCATTGCTTTGGGATAAAGTATTGAATAGCTGAGGCCATGGAAACTTTCCAGATACAGAAACAATCACTGCATCTTTATAATAGGGAGGGTTCGGTATCCTGGGTCCAGTCACTACCACCGTGCTGTCCAGAAGTGCAGCATTAATGAGTAAGTGACAGGATGAGGTAGCTGCCTTTGCTCATTTGCATGCCATGCTTGCCCTTTGAAAGCGACCAATCCTGACTCTCTTCTGAGAAACAAGCAACTATTTGCATAGACTATAGCAGTTTCTTTTTCTCCAGAGTAGTTGACATTCTTTAAACATAACAGTGATTTAGTTCAGATGTTCTGTTTAATCTTACTGTGTTGGGAGCAGCTCACTTTGAGATTGCAAGTGCACTTTTGGTATAAGGCGGGGGAGGGAGAGGATTGGTGCCTCTTTCTAATCTGTATTGTCTGCCACAATATATTTTGCATGCAAGCCATAATATAGTACATTATGACTTCCAGCTAGTAAACCAAAAATCTAGAATGGTATATTACATGTTTCTAGACCTGTAAACGATGTTTTCATAGTGTATTATTCTGTATAGAGTTCCAAGAGAGGAGCTAAGAAATTATTTCAGGAGACCTGAGTGTAGTTGAGCTTTTGTTGGCTAGATAGCTCAGTGGTTTAAGTATCTGGCTGCAGAACCAGAGGTTGGGAGTTCAAAAGTCTTTAGTTTTTTTTAAAATTATTTTTGTAAGTTCTCCAAGTTGTTTTCCTTCATAATTATGTTATTTTGGTTTGTTTTATAATTAGCCTTAGTATTTCAGACATAAACCTCAGGATATAATATGTTCTCCTCCTGAATGATGCACACTTCTGCAGGAGTTGAAACATACTTGTATTTCCATTATCCCTTATTTTCATTTGTTGTTTTGTATATGTGATGTTGTATCCCAGAGAATTGCAGTATCCTTAGAATGCAGAATCTGTTGCTGAACTCCATGGTGCAGAGAGGCAGCAGTGTTCCTAAGTTTGCAATGTTTAAAATGTGGTATTTTTTTTAAATTTTGTTTTAAAACACTTTAGAACACCTTCTTGCATTTCCAGCCAATGCTTAAACATTGTGAAGAAATTCAGAAGAACTGAAAGAGTTTAAAATCCGCTTTTGTGGCTCTGGTCAACATGAATAACTACACCTAAAGCCCTGTGGATTTGATATGTTTGTATGGGAAAGGAAAGTGATTAGGTTCTTGACTAGATTCCTCCATAGTTGTTGCATTATTTGTATGGGCAGCCAGTAGGATGAAAAATTACATTGTAACTGTCACAAATCACTTCCATGTTATCTGAGTCTTAGTAAGATATACAGTAGCTGTTATGTCTTTGACTACTTGTGGTTTAGAGCAGTGGTCCCCAACTTTTTTAACCCTGCGGACTGGTTGAGGAAGGCGGGGCAGCCCCACGCTTGTGTACATGCGCAAAGGAGCGGCCAGGCGCTTCTGCGGGTGTGCTTAAAAACATGCGCGAAGGGCGGCACGGCACTCGTGCGGGGGCGGGCATGCTCATATGCATGCACAAAGGGCTGTACATCGCTCTGGAGGCACCTGTGTGCATGCGTGAAGGGGTGGGGGAGTGCTTGTGTGGGTGCAGGCACAAAGGGGATGTGTGTGGGGGAGTGCGTGCAGGGGGGGGGGGGAGGTCTCCATGGCCCAGTCCGGCTGAGGCCACGGACTGGCACTGGGCCGCGGACCAGGGGTTGGGAAACCTCTGTTTGAGAGGAATATAATTATTTTTGTTAAATATAAACTTTTGTTCTTTCAGCTTTCTATTTTATATAAATCTAGAAAATATTTGTAAATTTATTCTCGAAGGCTTTCATGACCGTGTTTTGGCATCTTCAGAGGACAGGAGTTAAAACTCTGTCTGTGTTCTGGTGACCTATCGCACACACTACACCAGAACACAGACAGAGTTCTAACTCTGTTCTCTGCAGATGCTGTCCACAGAGACTGGTGAAACGTTAGGAAGAAAAACCTCCAGAAAATGGCCAAACAGCCAGAAAAACCTATAACAACTATTTGTAAATTCTTCAAAACAAGGGCGGGGGGTAAATGTTAGCAAAGATGACTAAGTTCATGGCATTTTGAAGACCAAGATACAATCTGAGGAAGATAGCTGTAGCCTACAGAAGTTTTTCCAAATAAGGTGCCACAAGACTTTGATGTTATAGTAATAATAACAATATGGTCTGTGTCACCAAAAGTGAGCCAGGTTGCAGTTCATTGAGTTCTAACTTACTAAGTCTGAACCAGGCCCTTCAAGCCATGATTAACTGACCAGCAGTGGTAATTTGAAGTTATGGCTTGCTACTTGCAAACTTTTGACTTGTTTTATCTACACTTTCATGATTTGTCTGAATCAGAAATTGTTATTGACTTACCTTGGCTTGTTTGTTCAGTCGGCCAGCCTGAGATAGAAGTTTTATTTATTATTTCTCCCCCCCCCACCTTTCTTCTTAAAAGGACCCGAGGTGGCTTACATAATTAAAAAGATAATATTTAAAAGCTATAAACAGTGCACAAACATTTTAAAAATATTAGACAAGTATTATATTAAAAACAGCAAATAAAAACCAATACTAAAAAGACTTTAAAACAACAGAGAACAACAGTCCATTTGAAAAAAACTCTCTTAGACTGCCATTTATTAAGAAAAAGCTTGCCTGAAGAGGAAGGTCTTTGCCTGCTTGTGGGAAGACAGCAAAGATGAGGCCAGCCTTGCTTCCCTTGGGAGGGAGTCTGGAAACAGCAACAGAGAAGGCCCTCTCATATGTCCCCACCAAACACACCTGTGAGAGTGGTGGAACCAAGAGAAAGGCCACTCCTGATGATTTTGATGATTGGACAGGTTCATAGAGGGAGATGTGGTATTTTAGAGAGCTCGGATCCAAGCTGTTAAAACCAGC